GAAGAGGCAGAGGAACTAGAGATCAAATTGCCAACATACGCTGGATCATGGAGAAAGCTAGGGAGTTCCAGAAAAACATCTACTTCTGCTTCATTGACTATGCTAAAGACTGTGATTGTGTGGATCACAATAAGTTGTGGCAAGTTCTTAAAAAGATGGGAGTACCAGACCATCTTATGTGTCTCTTGAGAAACCTATATGCGGGTCAAGAAGCAACAGTGAGAACTGGACACGGAACCACTGATTGGTTCAAAATTGAGAAAGGAGTTCAGCAAGGCTGTATACTGTCGCCCTGCCTATTTAACTTATATGCAGAGTACATCATGAGCAAGGTGGGGCTAGATAAATCACAAATTGAAATTTAGATTGCTGGGAGAAATATCAACAACCTCAGATATGCAGGTGATACCACTCTCATGGCAGAAAGTGAAGAGGAACTAAAGAGCCTCTTGATGTGGGTGAAGGAGAAGAGCACAAAAGTTGGCTTGAAACTCAACATTAAGAAAACTAAGATCATGGCATCCAGTCCTCACACTTCCTGGCAAATAGATAGGGAAGAAATGGAGGTAGTGATAGATTTTATTCTCCTGAGCTCCAAGATCACCGCAGATGGGGACTGCAGCCAAGAAATGAAAAGACGCTTGCTCCTTGGGAGAAAAGCTGTGGCAAATCTAGACAGCATACTAAAAAGCAGAGACATCACCCTGCCAACAAAAGTGCGTATAGTCAAGGCTATGGTTTTCGCAGTTGCAATGTACGGCTGTGAAAGCTGGACCATAAGGAAGACTGAGAACCGAAGAATTGAGGCCTTTGAACTGTGGTGCTGGAGGAGACTCCTGTGAGTCCCTTGGACCACAAGGCGATCAAACTGGTCAGTCCTAGAGGAGATCAACCCTGACTGCAATTTGGAAGGCCAGATCCTGAAGATGAAACTCAAATACCGTCACAATGCTGCGGAAGCCGGTTCTTTTCCTAAACTTAGCAATCCACCCTCTGCTTGCTTTAAACTCCTCGCTTTCAGCACTGGTTCCAGGTGTGCATTTCGTCATACAGCTGCTTGGCTTTCTCACAAACAATCCTCTCGGAAATGATATTGCCAGCCAATCGCTTCTCATTCATCCACACGAAGAGGAGTTGTTTTATTTCCTCAACAACATGTGATCTTCTGGACGTCAACGTCGTCACACCTTTAGCCACATTTGCAGCTTTTATTGCTTCCTTATTCTTAAGAATGGTGCACAGAGTCAACTTCGGCATCTTAAACATGGCCGCCAGATCCACCACACACACGCCCCCTTCATGCTTCACACTAAGTTCCTTTTTCACTGCGATGTCGATATTACAACCTTCCTCTTAGGCTTCTTTATTTCCACGCTCTTCATGGATGCCATGGGTAATATGCAGGGGTTATGTACTGTGTAACCGAAAAATAAAGCGAGAGAAAGAACTGAAAATGCTGGAAAATTCATGCACTGAAAAAGCACTGAAAAGGATCGAAAAGGCACGCACTGAAAAGGCACTGAGAATGATCGGAAAGGCACAGACCCGAGAAATCCTTTCCCAGCGAGACAGCTTGGGAGCACAACAGTTTTTTTGGCTGTGCCTGCAGTTCAAACTCAGAAGCATCTTTCGACCTTTGGAACAATCTGATCTAGATTTTAGCGTCCGAACTCCGGACCGTTTGAATTTAGGGATGCCTGAACTCTGAGGCACCATGGTATCATGAGATCTCTAGGGGTGCAGTGCAGTCCAAGGCCGAGGCTGAGCTGCCCTGTCAGGCGAACCTCAGTGGGGGGATTGCTCAGCATTTGGGACAGGAAATTTCCTGGAAATGCTAGAGATTGAACTGCAGCAGGGACTCATCAGTG